CATTGATTAAGCTCCAAGGAGTGGCGAGCTAGGTGCCGAGAGGAGCTAGCAAGCTAAGGTGATTCGTGGTGGCCGAGGAGACCTCCGGTGGCGCGTCGAAGACTACTTCTCACTTTCCTTTTTGCTACTATTTTTCTATTTATTTATGGGTTGTTGAAATGAATATTTGCATGACTTTGTGTTTGGATATTTCAAACCCCACTATGAACTAACTTATTTGGTGGTGGTTGGTTTAATGGATGTTTAGACTTTATTTTAATGGTATGTTTAAGTTTATTTTGGTTCTTTATTTGCTTTGCTTATGAATACTTCACCATCTAGGCTTGTAAGAGACATGGAAATGTCCATTTCTTATATGAAGTTTAGGTATTCGGGAGAAACCTAAGCTAAAAATACTTGTAAGTATTCGAGAGAACCGCAAGACAAGATCCTCATAAGCAATGGGTTATAGTATTTTCAAGGGGCTTTGAACCGGCCTAGGAATATTATAACCTAATCCCTTAGATCTCGGGAGAGACTAAGATAGGATTTCAATGACTAAAAAGGGTGTCTTTATCAATAGGGTAGGCTGACCAACATCGTTGAGTGAGAGCAGATGCCTTGGCATCCTATTCTGTTAGGTTCATTTGAGAACAGTTTAGGAAAGCCTTACCGAGTAAGTAAAGATTAGATACCTTAAATATGCCTGAGAGATAAGTTTAGCATCCTTAGATCAATCCCTATCATTCATTCCATTGGAAGCTTGTCACGTGAGGATTATATTCTTTTCATTTTATTTTTTGTTTATTTACTGTTTATTTATCATCTTCCATTGCCTCGACATTGCACCATTTTCAACACTAAACATCTTATCTTGCCACTGCATTTCCATCTGCTACACCATCAGACCATTCATCTATATCCGCCTTCATACACTTTTCATTTGCCGTGACATTTGTATATATAAAGACTAACTATACATAGATAGATTTGTGCTTAGCTTTGGTTAGACTTTTGTAATTTCGCCCAATCCCTGTGGAGACGATACTCACTCATCATTATATTACTTGAACGATTGTGTATACTTGCACATTATCTGCGTATATTTTATAGTACTCACACACGCGGACAATCAGCTCCACAAGAGTGATGGTTCTCTTGAATGATATTCTGACAGAATGATTTGATACGAAGATAATACCTGTTTCATTTTCCCTAATTTCTCCATCATAATAAATAATAGCTGAAATACGCATCAATTTTAGAGTTTGGAAGTTTGAAAGATTAAGAGTCTTATATCTACAAAAATAATAAATAAATATGCCTAATTAAATAAATAATATACGAATTTAAAAATAAACTAATGCTAAAACATTTAAAAAATTCACAGTAAATTTAATAACACAATTTAACATTGTTACTGTCTCAGGAAAATGTCTCGAGATTTGATCCTCTTTCATTTTATATCAATACAAAATAAAACAAAATCATTAATACAAAATATTTTGATCAAATAATTAAATATAATATAATAATAAATAATTTTATATTCTAATAACTATAATAAAATTTATTTAGCTTAAAAGAATGTAAAAATAATTTTGATGTAATTTGCCATTTGCATATGAAGATATTTATAGAGGATGAGGCGTCGAACTTAAGTGTGAGGTAATAGGAAATAACAAATAATTCAAGTTGAATAATGAAATAAGTAGATGGTGATCCGCGTTTTACCCTAATTAGATTGAAAACTCAAGATTCGCATCTTTTGTCTATGTTAGTAAATATGTGTTAAATCGATAAAATTTGGTGTACTGACACATAATTATTGATTGATTGTTAGGGTGCTTTTAGGTAAAAACGCCGGATAATTGCAGCAAGTTCTTTTTGCGGCAAATTTATGAGAAAAGAAAGGCAACGTGTTTTCTTCTCTTCATCATCCTTACTCTTCGATGAGACTCAATTACAGGTTATTATCTTTTTCTACTAAAAAGAGTGAATTTTTACTTTTAAAAGATTACTAGGTTTCATTAGTTTTTTTTCTTCTAGTTTCTTTGACTTTTTTATTGTTTGATGATGACAGTTTAAAGAGAGTGCTAGGCAATTTGCACATGAAAATATTGCGCCTCATGCTTCCAAAATTGATCAATCTAATTCTTTTCCCAAGGTCCGAATTAAGTTTATCTCTCTCTCTTTATATAATTAGAAAAAAATCATTTCTTTGAATATTGTTTGCTGCTTCATTCATTCATTTATGCAGGAAGTTAATTTATGGAAGCTCATGGGGGATTTTAATCTCCATGGAATAACTGCGCCAGGTAAATATTATGTTCTATTATTGTCAATTCAACCTCATGTTCACCCTTTTACTCTAAGTGTGAGATTCAAATGGATTCCATAGAATTTTTGCCGAGAACTTTCTGTTCATTTTATCAGTACTTCATTGATGAAGAAAAGCACTTTTTTGTTCCCTTTCTTTCTTATTCCCTTGTAGAGGAGTATGGAGGATTTGGTCTTGGTTACTTGTATCACTACATAGCAATGGAAGAAATCAGCCATGCTTCTTGGTCGGTCGGTCTTTGGTATGGTGCTCATTCTAATCTGTGCATCAACCAGTTGGTAAACCAAGTTGCTGACTCTATGTTAGAGTTCAATTACAATTTGATTCTTCTAGCATGCTTAAGGTGATTTTCTTTTTTTAAGGTTTTGTAGGTGAGGAATGGAAGTCCTGCCCAGAAAGAGAAATACTTGCCAAAGGTTCTATTTTGATCATCCCACTTTCATTAATTCCCTATACATTGTCTTATTTCTAATATATTTTATCAAATGACTAGTTTTTTTCCTTCTGTTTTCGACACTGTTGTTTATTCATAATCATGTGATGTTATTGTACAATTTATAAATAAATGAAAAAAAATTGACACACTGCTAACTTTTATTATTTGTTCTTTTGGATTCTCTCACTTTTTGTAGCTCATCAGTGGAGAGCATGTAGGAGCCCTTTCTATGAGTGAACCCAATGGTAACTTACAGAAACTTTTTCTGAGCTAATGTCTAACATTTATTAACATTTCTCAGGCTGAACAATTTTTAATTATATGAAGTGGCTAATCCGATTTTGCAATTTCTGCAGCTGGATCAGATGTTTTAGCATGAAGTGCAAAGCTGATCGGGTTGATGGGGGTTATCTTCTCAATGGGAACAAGATGTGGTGCACTAATGGTCCAGTTGCCCAAACATTGGTATACCTTGAGAATGCCTTTACATTGTTAGGCATGGCTATGGTTAACTTTATGTTTCTTAGTTTTACTTGATCATTTTTTCTAAGTATTTATTCCTTGAGAAATGTGTCTTTATCGGTTTTACTTTTATCTTCCTTTAAGCTAAATTAAAAGACTCTAATTGTATTCTATAGATGCAACAAAGGCTGCCGAAGTTGACTTTGTAGTAGAAACTGTTCTTTCAATGGATGTTTTGTCTGTCTGTTCTTGTTTCCTCCGAGCACCAAACATACCATTGTGCTAAAGCTAAGAATTTATTTTTCCTCCTGTTAAAACTTTCAAACATTTGGAAAGGTTTCAAGCACCAAACATACCAGTGTAGGATTCAAGCAAAAGCTAAAGCATCAGACATGTTGTTTGAATTTCTTCGAACTAACTTTTTCATGATATATTTAATACAAGGTTTTATGGTCTAATATTTTTGTTTAAAATGTCGTTTTACTTATATGTGGTTACCTGTGAAGCAAGTGCTTTCTGCTTGCTTTAAGCTGCATGAATTAGCATTCAGCAGATAAACCGTTAGATTGAGTAGAAAACAGTTTCTACAGTCCTTCGGTGGAAATTTTCTTTTCCAGAGTATCTGGTCGTAAAATCCATGCCCGATATGGATAAAGTTATCCACTCTGCTTCATTATACAACTTTTCTTCTGCAATAATTTATTGTTTTATACTTATTCATCTATTCTTTTAGGTTGTTTATGCAAAGACAGATGTCACAGCTGGCTCAAAAGGAATCACAGCATTTATTATTAAGAAGGGGATGCCTGGGTTGTGCATCACATATATCTAATTATTTTATATTCTAAAAGACGGGAAAGTTGAACATTCCGTATGCTGATAAAAAATATCGGGTGATAGTAGAGACATGTACTCTTTACTAGGGTCCTGTATGATAGAAATAAACAATTCTGATTATGATAACATGTATCAGCCAAGGCACAATACCTTTTGCGGTGCTTGAATTCCAATGCAACTTATTTTTTTCTGATATAAATATTTCTAGGATCTAGACATAAGGACCTATGTCACCCCTTTCTAAATGGTCAATAGCTTGCAGGTATTAATGAACTTCAAGTATATAGTAAAATCTTTCTCTCGCGCTCATCCTGTCTTTGTTTAGATATACCTTTCCTCAAGTATCTTCTTTTAGGTAAAATAAGACCTATATATATATAACTGTAATTTGATTAAAAAATGAGATACTGAATTTTTTTCATTAATCATTTGATTTTGTCACTATGCAGATACTCCAATGCTCAGAAATTGGACAAACTTGGGATGTGAAGAAGTGATACGTATGCTCAGAAATTCTGCCCCTATCTTTCTTACTAACAATGGTGATGGTCTGAGCAGATGTGAGCTTGTCTTTGAGAATTGCTTTGTTCCAGAAGAAAATGTTCTTGGCAAAGAAGGAAAAGATTTTGCATCTCTGGAAGTTTTTCCCTTTTCTTCGGGAAATAGGAAGGAGATATTGACCAATAGTAGATAGTTTATGATGGTGACAATATGCTGCATGCCTAATCAGATGACATCAAGGACTTTTTATATTATCCATCTGCTTTAGAATCTAATAATATTTATTAAAAAACTGCAAGAGGAGTCTTAGTCTGTATTCTTAATTATGCCAGTACCATGTGAAGTTGTTGCTCATGTTTCTGCTACAGTTGTGAGGAGATATTATGTTTTCTTGTATTATATTTTAATCGAGGGTTTTTGCTTGTTTCAGGGGTTTATGTATTAATGTCAGGACTATATTTGGAGATACTTGTTTTGTCTGCTGGGCCGGTCGGTATAATGCAGGCATGTCTCGATGTTGTCCTTCCTTACATACGAGAGCGATCACAGTTTGGCCGTCCGATAGGGGAATTTCAGTTTATACAGGTTTTAATAGAAGCTATCCTGATCATGTTTCGTGGATGCTTGTCTTAGAATATTGGATTAAATTCTTGTTGCAATTACAGGGGAAAGTTGCAGACATGTATACTTCTCTGCAATCATCACGGTATAGTTTCGTGATATAAAATTTCGAGTCTTTCAAAATATGACTCGCGCATGGAAGAAGTTGACAACGTTCATTTTGCAGGTCCTACGGCTATTCCGTTGCAAGGGACTGCGACAACGGGAGAGTTGACCCGAAGATTCCTTTTATTTTCCCTCCTGTTCCTGACCTGAAAAGATTTCTTGATATTTTTTCTTTCTTTTTTCATAAAAAAAAACAGATGTTTTGCTTATTCTTGTATGAACATTTCCCGTTGCAAGGGACTGCGACAACGGGAGAGTTGACCCGAAGATTCCTTTTATTTTCCCTCCTGTTCCTGACCTGAAAAGATTTCTTGATATTTTTTCTTTCTTTTTTCATAAAAAACAGAAGTTTTGCTTCTTGTATGAACATTTCTCAACCTGGTCAGTATCATCATTATATATTGGACGGGGAAAAAGGGTGTGAAAGCTATGGTTTCCTTGGTCTTTCAAATAGACACAGTTCTATGAATTCTTATGACTTTCATATGGCCTGTGTTTTTATTTTCTTTTTAAGTACATGTTTACATGAACATGAATACGTAACTTTTGTGAATGCAACATTTCACTTTCAGGAGCTGGAGCTATACTTTCTGCTGCCGAACGAGACACTCAAGTTGCTTTGCAGGTGAAAGATTTGTGATTCATTCACACATGGATATCATTCAAGTATATTCTGTAACTTGTGAATGTAAATCATGTGTATTTGTGTTTGTATTCAGGTTTTTGCAGGCTATACAATGTTTAGGAGGTAATGGATATGTAAACGAATACACAAGCGGCCGTCTGCTTCGAGATGCCAAGCTCTACGAAATCGGAGCAGGGACTAGTGAGATCAGAAGAATGGTTAATGGTCGTGAGCTTTTTAAGGAACAATAAGAGAGGTTTGGACAGTGTTGTTTACAAAACTTAAGATTTACATGCTTGTAGTCTGTACATACCATACTAGAAATAAATCATCTGTTTCTCAGAAGCAACATGATATAGTTTTGAAAACAACCCATTTTAGTAATTCATTATGGTTAAAAATCACTTAAAAACTTGATATGCAGCGAGTCATTTCAACATTTATCTGGGCTTTGAAATGACCCATAGTTGTAAAAAGCGCGCCTGAGGCGCAAAAGCGTAGAGGCTCACTGAAAGGGGCTTTTTCAACACTGAAGCGAGGCACATAGCCTAGGTGCACCTAGGCTCAGTGAGGCACAGCAAGGCTCTGAGGCGCAATGTGGGCTTAAAACCTTGTGTTCCTTCATCGGAATCCCCACAGGGGTTTACAAATCGGGCCTCGACTCAAAGAACTCGATGATTTTCTCGTGTTTCCCTGTTTTTCCCTATCATGTAGCTCTTCAGGGAGGCTTTGTCAACCTTTAGTTTATTGGTCGACTTGGCGTACGTTACCATGTTGAGTTGGTGTGAAGGTTGGAGCGGTAGAAGTGGGGTCAGGTGAAGGGATAGCCACTGGATACGGCGGTTCACGACAGCGATGGATAGGTGTTGTTCATCCTCCGCTGTCTTATTTGGATTCATTTTCTACAAAGAACAAAAAGGTCGGTGGGAGGATTTTGAACGGTGGTTTGTCTTCGTGCGAATAAGAAGGTGAAGAAAAGGAGAAAGTGACTAGTGAGTAATTTTAAACACAAAAGCTATGGTAATGTGTCGTATTTTGATTGGCGGGAAGAAAAAACTTTAGTTGTCGCGGGTACTTGTGGGGAATGAATAAAGTCATGACGTGGAACGTTTTGTGACCGGTTGATGTGGATATTTGTTTATATTAATTTAATCGTAATTAAAAATTTACGTTATTTTACCTTTTCTAAATAATGATTAATATAAAATTAAGAGAAAATAACCTCAGTGACCAAAAATCTTAGATAATATACGATTTTGACCAATTTTTTTTGGATTTACGAAAATGACCAACAAAATCGCAATGCGATCTCTAATTCGCATTGCGATCTCCACTATCGCAAATTCGCGTTGCATTTCGCGTTGCGATACGCGATTTTTCATTTCGCGTTGCGATAGTTGAAAATCGCACGCGATTTTCTATTTCGCGTTGCGATAGTCTACAGTTGTCGTTGCGATTTTTCAAATTCGTTGCAATAGTCTACAGTTGTCGTTACGATTTTCCAAATTCGTTGTGATAGTTAAAAAAAAAGATTGTGTTTCTTAAGAATTTTCTCTAAAAAGATAGTATTCGCGCGGACGTGTCGAAGACACGTATTACCACGACCACGACCACGAGGTTAAAATCGTATATTATCTGGGATTTTTGGTCACTGAGGTTATTTTCTCTAAAATTAAATGTCTAAATCATATTTAAAATTAATTTTTGATGTTTAAATTTTTTTATTAAAAATAAATGTATAATATTTCTTCCGTTACACTTTTAGGTTTCTACTGTTAATAAAAACGTGAGTGACATGTGTCACATTTGATGTTTGATGATGATTATCAGTGACTTTATTTGATGTTTTGTTTATACATATTAGATGCTTTTATTAAACTTAGTACTTGATTATGCTTGTTGATAGTTTTTATGACATTAGGTTGGTATTTGAGTTTGAGAATGAACTCTATTGAAGCCTAATATTGGGTATCTATGATATTTGAGTTTGATTGCATTAATATATACATGTATTATAATTTTTTTGATATTATGCGCCTCGCCTTTGTGAATCCCGCGCCTTTCATGCGCTTCGCGCCTCAAGGCTCTACGATACTTTGCGCCTCGATGCGCTTTGAGCCTTTGATAACTTTGGACCCTATTAACACAAAATGCATGTACCATTTGCAAAACACCAAAAGCTTGAATCACCTTCAATCCACTTTATTTGTCCAAATACCATAATAATTATGCCACAAACCCACATTTAGCTGTATGTTCCAAATTTGACAAATGACAAGTACTTGGTAGATAAAAATCTTATTCAGCGTATTTAACAACTTGTAGCACACATAGCAAACACATCGACGACAACGGTTACAACAACATTAATACAAACAAACAACAAGCATCATACCCTTGTTACTGTTGGAGAGGATGAATCCGGCTGCCCCACCGAGGAAGACTTTGATGCTTCCATTATCACTGGTGCTTGTTCCAAACAGCTTTGTGTATCGTCACTACCCGTTCCTATTGTCATCTTCTCCACTTCTTCGGTATATATATGGATCTTTGACACCACATCACAGAATTCAATGCAAAACAAATGGGGGGGGGGAGGAACAAAATCCGAAACACTCAATCATAGGCAAGTTACTTGCATGAAGCGGAAAGAGAAACTAGAAAGCAAAAACGAACATAGTGGAAAGAGATTGATAATTGCTATCGTGCAAGGATAGTGGACAACAAGAAAAGTGACACTTACCGCCAAGGGTCATCTCCAACCACCATTACATCATTCTCACTATCAGTGTACAAAACCCGCCATCCTTTATCTGGATCACTTAAAAAGCCTTCCATACCGAATAGACGTTCTAGTTCAGTCATCAAGTCATCATATCCGTACAGTTTCGAGAGATCAATAGCTCTTCCAACCAAGCTGCCTTGCTTGTGAACCTTTCAGCCAGTGGAATGGAAGTCAGTCGGAGAGGAACAGGAAGTAAAATTAATTCAACTACGACCCGAATATAAACTTACCTTTGCACAACTCCTCTTACCAGAATTTTGGGAGCTCGGAGTAGGCGACTCAACATTCAAAGAGAACCCAAAAAGTTTACATCCAGCAACTTTTCTTTTGGAGGAGTCCTCCTGTTGGTTCCTTGAATTGTTTTCAGGAGCAGGACTGGGAATATTCTCTAACATATCATGCTCTTTCAGCAAATTTGGTTTCCTGACCCCGTCCATGAGAACCCCTACCCGTCTTTGATTGAGGAAGCATTGAACGATACATTACCTCTCAGAAGTGGAGATGGAAAAGAGCTCACCATTGGTTCCTGGCCGTTTTTGTAAAATTCACTATAAGGAAAATACATATTTTGTAGGCCTTCCGATGCTAGTGGATAGCAATTGGTTTTCGGTGATTGATGCATGTTGTAAATTTTGCAACCAAGATTGGTTTTCATCCAAGCACCAAGGTTGAGATCAACCCTTTGTGTCAGGGATCTCAACTGGAAAATTTCTTGACCTTGTAAGACCTTCGGAAACCTATTAGATTCCGCAAAGCCTGCGTAAGCAGTGGGGCAAACCCTCATATACTCGCTAATATTACTCTTTCCAATCCCTGTTGATGCCAGACTTTGATGATGTGCAGGAGACTGCATCTCAAAATCTAGCGGGCGGTTTAAAGTACCACGTCTGTGTAAGTGTGATACGAAACCTACATTTTCTTGACCTTGCAAGACCTTAGAGGGTCTTAAAGATTCCTCAAAGTCCAAAAACCGACTCCCTCCTGAAGAAAGGAACATATGGAGCATACATTAATCGAGTATAAATTTGCAACAACATTACCACCTTACAGAGACTTTTACCTGTGATGGGGGTGTCAGGTGCAGCAGCCTGCGGACCTGTTCGCATTTTCTTCAACCTTGGTGAAGGCTGAATGCCCAAAGGTGGGAGAGAAACAGAAGGATCGATTTCCCAAGGTGAGACTCTCTGGAAACCGATCACATTTTCTTCATCCCACCTAACCTGTTGAATTTCATAACAAGGGTTTTATACTTAAGAGTAGAAAAAGATTCATTTAATAGCTTTGAATTAAGGCATTTCCTAGTTTTGTTTAATCAATTACTTTCCATTCGAAGAACAGTTCATCAGCCTTCTTCAATTTTCGGCATAAAGCATGTATATGTACAAACGTAATGTATTCTGATAAAGACCATGTAGATTCACTTGCCCGGGAGTTGCGATAAAGACTACATGAGTAAAAGCTTGAATACACAAACCAAGATTTGGAGCTCACTCTTAAGCATCTCCACTTCGAATTGGGCCATTTGAAAGGATCCATGTCCCCCATTCCCGTCACTAAACCACTAAACTTACATGAAAGTAGCACCGTTATTATAATCTTGAAATAAAAACTATTAGCATGTAAAACCAAAGGAATAAATTAATACTTGTCATAATCTTCTATTTATCAAATGGTACCTTCTCTCGGGAGAATCATCGATTCCAAATCTCATTTTGAATCTTGTTCCGATGCACACTGAATTTGTTATGCTTTTGATATACTTCTTAAAGGGTACAACAAACTCTGCATGACTGGCCCTGCATTACAGCAACATGAACTGGCTTACCACTCCATTCCACAATAACCAAATCACATTCCAAATGAAAAAGTGAAAATCGAACTTTCAGAATCACTCGGTAGGCATTTAAAATAGGTTTAAGAGACATTTATAAAATCTTGCTTTATTTTTTATATCACAACCCAACTTATTCCTTTATTTTCTTTGTCGAATACCAGTCAGTTTAATGAAGTAAGCTGTAAGAAGCTTACCTTGGACTGTAGAAGACATGAACCATGCTTTTAGTGGATAATGCATTAGCCACCGGAGAAAGAACATTTAGATACGAATTCTGTTTCGTGATAACTGATTCGGGGAGGTAATTTCTTGGTCGTACAGCTCTCCTAATGCCCAACCTAAGCTCGCCGTCTTCACCCCTACGATGTTGAAGAAAAGATAAATAAGAGAGAACTTAAAACAACCTAGGCCATGGGAACACAAGGCAGCCTCGGAACTCTAAAAACTTCCATTATATTTATGATTCTTAATTAATAAAAAAGCATTTCAAGTTATCATGATTCATGGCAGTCCTATTAGAATGATGATTCTATTATTCTTTTATACAGTTTCCTCTTTTGACCAATTCCAAAGTATCAATGCGGAATTGAGCAATCTGCTCGCAGAAAATATAACAGATCGATCAGTCACTG